CTGATTGAAGAAACTGACCAGCATTGTCTGAGAAGGGAAAGCAATGAAACATCTTCCTGTTGGTGTCTGAGCAGCACACAGTGGTAGGCCATGGCTAGGTCCCTGGGTTCCCAGAAGAGGAGCGAGGGTGGCAAGTCCGTGGGTTCCCCAGCAGTGTCTGGGCCAGTTCCGCCCTTCTGAGTTGGGAGGACCCCCCAAGAGGTGGCTACATGGCTGCCTGTTAGGACTGGATAAACCTGGAACGCCCATCTCCTGCAGAGGCACCTGCAGAGGCACCTGCCTTCAGAGGGACCTCGTCGGCCAGGCAGGGGATCCAGCGAGCCCTGGGCAGGGCAGTAGAGCCAGACAGCTGTCTGTGGTCAAGGCGCAATGGCAGGAACCGAGCTGGATAAAGCAAGAGATCCTGGAAGAGGGGATCTTTTTAGAACTTGTAGGCCCTCCTCTGCCCCCAGGTGAAGGTTAAGAGCAAGGTGCTGCCAATTTCATTGATTTTGAACATCCTGTGCCAGTCTTGGTGTGAGGGGTTGAGTTGATCCTAATGAAATTTGGGAAAACATAACCACAGACATCCTGGGTTGTTTGAGGTATATAATCCATACCTGTCGTAGCAAAAGGTAATAGGCCCTTGATTTAGAGAGCACAGTAAAACATGGTCTCCATAGCAAAGCTCTAAATCTGATTCATGATTTTAGAACAAAAATTCTAGTTAGGGAAAGTAAACACATTTCACTCTAGAAGAAAATTTTCTTAATGTGAATCCCTTCACATGCATGGGTCCACCCCAAGCCGGAGGCCTGGAGGTTCAGGAACAGGCTGAGAGTCGGTGCTTCAGTGTCAGCAGAACACTGACCTGACACCTCCTCTCCTTCCTCGGGTTCCTTGTACAAACAACATGCAAGTTCATGGATTTCACTTGTGACATTTCCAAGAGTTGCTTACCAGCAACCTCCCAAGTCAGTTTTTAAAGGTCACCAAGGTTTGTTTTGCCTAAACTGAAATTGGTTCACCGGGACAATTACCGAGAACTCTGACTCAGCGGTTTTCTAGTCTAGCAGCCAAGCCACGCCCCCAAAGCCACGCCTCCTCGGGCCAAGCCTCTCAGCTTCTGATGGTTTGAGCAACTGATGAGACCTCCTGCAGTTTTCTGCCATGTGGTCCCATATGAATTGTCTATACCACTACTGCTAATGCAGAGAGGCCCGTAAACAACGATCACCTAAATGAGAGATTCGCTCCTCACTGAGTGGTGTCACAGAGTTATTTTTTATCTTGAAAAGCAGGAAAGGGCAGGTAGGCTTGGAATCTCTGCTCTGCCTAAGTGGGCTGTGACCAAAGCAATTTGTTGCAAGTGTGAGATGTCATTTTCTCAGTGGGGGAGTGGGGGTGGTGGGGACAGTGACACAGGTGCATGCAACTGTCAAAATTCGCCAACTGTGAGCTTAAGAGCTACACCTTTCAGTGAATGTAAATTATACCTCAATTAAAAGGTAAATTAATAAAGACAAATATAGGAGTCCAGAGGAGAAGACCAGGGGCTCTTGAGAGTGATTGGTCTTCATGGAAAAAGAGAACAGGGAGGAGGGCCAGCCAAGAATGCATCACCTCAATGTAAAAACAGGGAAACATCAAGCAAACCCCAAACGAGGCAAGTTCTATTAATGAGAAGAGGGGCGGGGCACTCTTAAAAAATGCCAGTGTCATCACACACACATGCACACACACAGAAGAAAGGCCATGCAAATGCTCCAGATTGAAGGAGGCAAGGCAGCATGACCACTAAGTACGAGCCCTGGTAGGACTGGCTCCTGCCCTGGGGAGGGAGAGGACTGCTCTAAGGGTCCTTGTGAGGCCAGGGGGCGAGGTGGGTGAGGACAGAGCATTAGATAAAGTCCTGTCAGTGTAGACTAAGAAACTGATCATTGTACTAAGGTAAGACAGTATCCCTGTTCTTAGGGAACACATCCTGAAGGCTTTAGGGGTAAAGGCCCATTTTGTATGTGACTCATCCTAAATGCTTCCAAACATGCAATTATGTATGTATGTGTGAAAAAGAATATGTGTGTGCAAAAGAATTTCCTTATTGGAAATCTTGGGAGAAAAAGGAAACAGTACACTTTTGGTTCTGATTTGGGTCTGATTGACAAGGCCGGCTCAAGGTTTGGCAAGTGTTTTTCCACCATCGGCACAGGCAGGGAAGGGGGATTTTATCAGACACTCTCCTCTGTCAGGAACCCCTGAGAGCCACGTCATACCTACAGCTGACTCAGGAAAACCTTGATTCCAGGTCAAGTCACTGTTACCTGGAGATGAACATGAGCCAGGCAAAGTTTCTGCCCTGGGACAGTGGTGCCTGCTCGGTTTAATTGCATGCAGATGTTGGCGTGAGCAGGGAACAGGGTGGGAGTCAGTGCATACGAACCGTAAAACCAATGAGGTAAAAGGCCAACAATAGGTGAATCCAGTAAAGGGTATAAAAGGGGGTTCTTTCTAAATTTTTTCTTTTTTGCGCTGTTTTGCAAATTTGAAATTGTTTCCAAATAAAAAGATAGTTGTTGTTTTTAATATTGGGAATGAGGGAGCTAGAAGGCTTTCCCAGGACTTCTCACAATATTGCCTTGTGTCCAGAAGGCACTGGCTGCCCCTTCAGAGTCAGGTCAGTATTCCAGGTGATGGGAGTCACCATGATATTTATGTTGCTTCAATACTCATAGATGGACCATTCCCAAGCAACAAGAGCTAGATTGCTTATGTTACAAACCTGGGAGAATGTGAGAGAATTTCCTTATTGCCTACTCTGGAAAGAAAAGGAAAGAAGTACAGGGTTTTTGTGGATGAGGTCAGTTGAGCAAGTATTCTTTTCAACATCTGTATCTCCAAACAAGCAGACTGTTATCAGGGCCGTCTGCTTTAATCAATAACTTCTGAAAGCTGCATTATATGTATAGGTGATTCACAAAAACCTTGACTCCTGGGTCAGATCACTGTTACTTGGACATGAGCGTGGCCCAGGCAAAGTTTGTATGTTGGAACAATTACATCTATTTTGTCTATTGCCAGAATTTCCCAGGATGCTCCTGGCAGTATCATAGTGGATTTGGAAGAGGAAGGGCTGCCCAGTGCCTCTCAGTGGGCTTTCCAAGATCACAGTATCTGATCTTGTTCTGAGCTCCGAAGGCCGTGTCTCCCAGAGTGGCCACCGCCCCTGCTCACTTCCTGTGGGATCTGCTGTGGAAACGCATGGGACTCAGTCTCCTCAAGTTGGAGTTGGCTAACAGGCATGGCAGTGATTGCTCTCTCCCCCATGCAAGAAGAAAATATAGGATTCGTTTGTTCAAGCACACTTCCCAGACAACTAGAAATCTCCCCCTCAACCTCATCTACTTCTAGGATGAGTGAAAGAACAGGTTGCACTTTACTCCCAAATCTCCAGTTTGGACTGTGGAGTCATGAAGCTGAATATTTTCTCCTATCCTTTTGTCTGATAAAGGTGAACTATTTGGGGGACTTGGAAGTTCAACTGTATAATGAAAGCAAGCTGCTTCCTTGCCAGCATGTGTAAAACCAAAATGTGATGCTGCATATAGAGGATTAAACTCAGACGGTGAAATAGGTGTGTGGTCACAGGCAAGCCTCATTCTCTTTCTTTCCTGGTCATGTCATGTTAGTTCTTCTAGGAGGGAAATTTGAGGATAAGAGTCCACTTTATCTACACTGAGACTTGGGTTAAAGCTGTGCTAAAGTGTCTGTAGCAGAGGAGATGAGCTTCAGAGAGGGAGACACAAGGAAGGATTAGACGGGAGAGACAGTCACAGCTTGCTGGCTACATACACCCCTAGAAGGAGCAATAGACATTAGCAAGCTGTGATCTGCCAGCAGAGATCCCGGAGGTCAGACAAGCAGACAGAGGCCCTGTGCCCCTGGACTGTGAGGGGCCAGTGGCAGCAGGGCTACCCTACAGCTGTTTCAGGGCACAGCCTGGCTAGGGCTGGAGTGAGTCAGTGAGACCACTCCCAGCCTGCCAGCCAGTGCATCCTGCCCCTGATTCATGCCAGTCACCTTGGTCTTAGTTATAATCTATCCATAACTTATTGTCCCCTACTATGTTCCTGGCACCATGCTGAACACTTCATATGTATTACCTAATTTATAGTCACAACCCGTTCTCCTTTTCTTAATTTTAAGAAAAGTATTCTTCCAGCTTTATTGAAATATAATTGACATATAATATTATGTTTTTTTTCAATGTGTACATGTACATGTGTACAAGGCATGCAGTGTGATGATTTAATATACATGTATGCTGCAAAGTGATTGGCAAGATAAGGTTACCAAGATAACACACCCATCATCTCACGTAGTTACCTTTTTGTGTGTGTATGCCAAAAACTTTTAAGATTTGTTCTTTTACTCTCTTAGCAACTTTCGAGGATACAATACAGTGCTGGCCTGTCCTCTTTTTTAAAAGATAAGGGAACAAGCTAAAAAAGGTGGCCTAACAAGGTCAAAAGTGGTGGGGCCAGGATTTAGAACCAAGAAAGTCTGGGTCCAAATCTTGTATACTTTTTTTTACCATGCTACGCACAAGTACACACACACACACACACACACACACACACACACACACACACACACACAGTGTGTTGGATTTTCTAGCCTCTGTTTCAGGAAGGAGTTGGTATGGAGTGTCATGTTTCATCCTAGGCATTCTGCAGTCACATCTGCTTAGGAAGACAGAGTGACTGCTGACTAGGAACCTCTCAGCATCCTAAGGGAACCAGTGCCTTATCACCTGGCCAGGATAAACCCCCAACCTGGCTGCACACATTGGCAGAGGTGCCCTGTGGGACTTCAGAATCCTGGTTTGAGCTACCAAGGTCAGAAGGGTCAGTAAAAATAAATGGGCCACGTGAGTGGAAACTGCCAATGGGTTGGGCAGTGCCAGAGAATGGTCAGTCTCTTGCCCCCAGGCCATTTGCCATCTTTCCTTACTGTCTTTGCAGCCAACCTCAGTTTAAAGCCCAGGGTGGCGGCTCACGGGGAGCAGCCAGCCTATCAGGGGCCTGTGCATTGCATTGCGACCATCGTGCGCACTGACGGCCTGGTGGGACTGTACCGGGGCACCAGCGCCATGCTGCTGAGGGATGTCCCAGGCTACTGCCTCTACTTCATCCCCTATGTGTTCCTGAGTGAGTGGATCACCCCAGAGGCCTGTGCCAGCCCCAGCCCCTGCGCCGCGTGGCTGGCGGGCGGCATGGCAGGTAAGGACGGCAGCACTGATGCCTGCCCCTTGGCCCACTGCTGCGGCGGGACAGCCGGGGAGCTTCCATGCCCTCTCAGCCCTGGGAGGGGTGCTCATTCGGCCACTCATCCCGGGTTCTTTATCAAGTCCCTGCTGTAGGCCTGACCTAGCCAAGCAGGGGAATGTCTACATGGGGAATGGTCCCCCACCCACCTCCATCTGGACCTGTGAGGATGGCAAGCCCCCATCTGGACTCATTCGACTTTCAGTCAGACGATGTATTTTGAGCACCTACTCTGTGTCAGTATTACTGAACTTCGAAAGGGAAAGCTGTTATCATGGTCGTCCTTTTTGAATATTGGCATACTGCAAACCTAATGTGAGGGTATCATTAGCCGTGTAACGTGGAAATCATCCTCCCCATCTTTCAGATGAGAAAACATGGCTCAGGGAGATTAAGTGACCAACCCAAGGCCACAGAGCTAGTGCAGACAGTAGGCAGGGACTGTGCAGTCAGAAAGACCCAGGTTCAGATCCACTTATGTGTTTTGAAATGACGGACTGGTAGTAATTAACCTCCCTACTCAGAACCCATACTGCCTCCCCCTTTCATTTAGGGTGAAAGCCAACGTCCTCACAATGATTTTCAAGGCCTTCTACCATCCAGCATCCAGTTTCCCTTCTGCACTCATTTTATGCTCCTGTCCCCTTACTCTGCTCCAGCCACCCTGGCCTCTTTGCTGCAACTCGACCAGGCCCGGCTCTCTCCCCACCACAGGGCCTTTGTACTTGCTCTTCCTGCCGCTTGGACTTAGCAATGTGTAGGTCCTCGGGGGCTTTGACAAGGCCCATTTTGGTGAAGAGAAGAGTGTGAAACCCTGATTGAGGCAGGATCAAGAGAGAATGGGATGCAAGAAATCTGAGAACTCAAATACACTCAGTACATCTGGAGATTTGGCTGTGTTGCAGGGGGGGAAGAAATACAGCTATACCCAGAGAGGTGTGGGGGAGTCAAGAGAGGATTGCTTTTTAAGAAGGCTGGTAACTTGGCATGTTTGGTATTGAAGGGGAAGATCTACTGGAGAAGAGAAAATTGTTGTTCTTTTCCTCCTCCTGCCACCTTATCACAATTAGCTATGCTTGAAACTCAACAAATACATAGCAAAGCGCATGTCTTAGCCCCAAGCAGCAGCGGCGGCACATGTCTGAGGCCTGGCCTCTTCCGGCTCCTAACAGTGTTCAGTAAGTACTTGCTGACTGAGAGGAAAACAAGGCCCCATCAGCTCTCATTTCTGGGGAAAGCAGGTGTGCGTGGCCCGGCAGGCAAACTTTGTTTTATAGGCCTTGCCTGTAGGCTGAGATGGGAATGAGCAGGGCAGCACCTGGCTGGACTCTAGGGGAAGCGGCCCTGTTATCCCAGCTAGAGGCAGGAGGGCAGAGAGGGGCAGAGGACTCCCAGAGGCCATGGGCAGGAGGCCAGGGTGGGCAGAGGGCCCAGGGCAGGCAAAGGCCTTTTTTGGGAGCTGCTGGACAGCAATTACAAAACCTTGCAAGCTAGCTGCCTTGGACTTTGGTATTAATTTGTTTTTCTCTCCCTACCCAAGAATGTGACAATTTCTGTTTACACAATAAGCTGGCATTGTTTACCCAGGGTCTTTTAAAGTCACAAAAGTGCTCAAACCAGGGCACCTGAACTTATTCACCAGGGATGCCCCAGTGACACATGGTCCCAAGGCTTCTGTTTCACATATCTGGAAAATATAAGAGATGTTTAAAGGCTTGCCCTTGTTCTTTGTAATCCCTAGGCTGGCACTTTCTTGGCGAGCAGCTATCTGCAAGTGTTTGTTTAGGTCCATGTTCACAGTAAATCCTGTCTCCAGGGGACTGTAAGCCTTCAGCTTCAGGCCTCACCCTGGGCTCTCCCCCCTGGTGCCCTGGAAAGGTGCTACAAAATAATGGTGGGGCCTGTTCATGTTTCTCCAATAAAAGCTGCTAATAAAATCTTCCACTTACAAAACATTGGCTGTCAACCTGGCCTTGTACTAAATGCTTCATGTGTATCAGTCTATTTGTCCTCAGCGAAACCCCATGAAATTGGTGCTGCCACCCCATTTTACAGATGACAGACCCGAGGCCTGGAGGAGGAGGAGGCTTTCGTAAGTCCCACAGCAAGTGGCAGGGGAAGGTCAGGGCAGCCCTCACAGAAGAGCCCTGAGCTCTTTCTACTTCCCCCTGCAGCTTATTAAGCCTCTGGATGGTGGAAATGTGTAGGGATCTAGGGCCCCTCTGACCCCAACCAGCCAGTCCTGACACTTGTCTGTCTTTCTTTTTACAGGAGCAATTTCTTGGGGAACAGCTACACCTATGGATGTCGTGAAAAGTCGGCTCCAAGCTGATGGGGTTCATTTAAACAAATACAAAGGTGTCCTCGACTGTATCTATCAGAGTTACCAGAATGAAGGACTTAAAGTAAGCCCCACAGCAGTCATGCAGGGTCAGTGTCAGTCCCTGGAAAGGGATTAGACATTTTGGGGGATGTGAGATTATAGAGGAGGGAATCGAGAAACCAACGTGTTGGGGGTGACCATTTATTAAACTCTGTGCAGGAACTTGGTCTCATCTAGGCTTTGCCCCAGGCTGGTGGTGGAAGTGGGTGTGATCCCATCTGACAGGTTCAGAGAAGGCTAGTAACCTACCTGAGGTCACACAGGGGGTATATGACAGAGCCGGGACTTGGGTCTACATCTGTGTGTCACCAAAGCCTGCCTTTTCATCAGCATGGTCTTTATTGCCCATGTGGCTCTTGCAAGCAACCTGCACAGTCCCAGGAACACTAGCATAGCTGCTTGCTGCAGGGTTTGGACTGGAGGATGGATCCCTGCTATTGGGCTAAGAGTTGAAATTGATTGACATTATCCACAATATACTGTCCAAACCTTCTCCTAGAAGTTGCAAGCCTTCAATAAACTCCAGAGTTCCAAAATAATTACCTCAGATATTCTGCCAGTGCAATTGTTGCCTAGGTAAGGAGATAGATTGCTGGTATTCCCTACTTCGCCATCTTCCTAGAAACCTCACCTCCCTTGTCTTTGGCATTCTTTTTAGCAGAAGTAGTTTGTGATTCAACTAATAAGAGCAGAGAGACATCTAAGAGAAATTCAAACAGGATGCTCTGAGATATTTTTGCCTGTTTCTCAAAATATTAATGTGTCGTAGTTCATTGAAGTCTGTAGAGACTAAGTGTACTGTTCATATTATTCCCCCTCCCCCAAATTACTCTATTTTGTAAAAAACAATGTTCTAGAAGGCAAGAGATCAGATGGTTGATTTCTTAATCTCAATAGCATTTGGTCCATAGTTAATGTTCAGAAACAGATTTTAAGTGGAGATGGCAGTATTCAGTCTGACTAACCACCTCACTGACTAAAATTAATTTTTTAAAAATTTTATCAGTTGGTTTAAAAAATAGTATCTGAGTATAGGAAACATCAAAAGGTATAAGAGAATATACTGTCTACATGTCCCTCCTGTGGTCCTGTCTTCTCTCAAAGGCAATCACTGTTACGAGTTTCTTGTAATATATTCCAAAAATTTTCACAGCCTGTACAAGCATGTGTGTGTGTGTGTGTGTATTTAGGTATGCTTGTATATATGTATATATGTTTCTGTATATAAATGTAAATAGTAATGTGAAAAAAAATCCCACCCAGCCCTGAAGAGTTGGGTTGCCCCAGTCAGATTCCTAGGAGCTGCAGAAGAAATGACTTTCCGTGGGGCCAGGGTGGTAGCCCCAGTCCCAGTTGGCCTGGGCTTTGGCTCTGTGGAGCACCCATTCCCAAACGGCTTTTGTTGCAGCTCACTGAGACGGGGTGAGCCAACTTATTCCCACTTATGTGGAAGAAGAACTCAGTGATAATAAAGAATTAGAAAGAATTAAAATAATGATGATGGTGCCCAGTTTTAATAGCTTTTTGTAACTGCCTTACATGATTACCAGCAAAGTAATACTGAAAACCAGTAAAGAAACCTTTATGATAGGGGGACTTAAGAGTCCATGGTCTCTGGGGGCATTCCCAAGTCACAAGGGAGGAAAGATGCGGTTTGTGATCCATTCTCTACCTGCTGTGATGACCATCGGGGCCTCGTGGGCCATGGCTTGTACACGGAGAGCCATCATCTAAAATAGGAAGGCTGGAGGAGTGGCTTAGTGTCCTTGAGCTCCGCAGAGGTGACTGGGCTAAAGGCATTTCTGAGAGTGGGATGAATTTGGGTGACTCTAGGGAGAGACAGAGAGGAATAGCTGTAGGCAGACAACCTTCGTGGGGCACCAGAGCCCGCTGTCTTCTGTTTCTGCCAGAGGGAGCGAGAGCCCTCCCTCCACCGCAGGGCCCCCCGCCCCCACCCCCACCACCCAGACTATATCACTCAGAGACTTCCTTTCTCATTTCAAGTTCACTCATTCATTCACCCATCCATCCATCCACTGATTCACTGAGTCAGATCTATAGAGGGTCCTCTGGGCCAAGCACAGTGCAGATGCTAGGGAGTCAGGCATGCCCATAACACAGCCCTGTCTTCACTACCCTGACTGGGATTCTCAACAGGGGCACAGACAAGTCTTGGGCAGTTCCCACGGTGTGGGCAGGCCTGTGTGGGCAAAGGTTCTGGGTGCACAGAAGGCAGCAGGCCATAGCCCAACTTGGGGTGCTCTGGGAGGACTGCCAGAGGTGCAGCCGCACCGGGGAACCTTCCACCAGAAAAGGCCCAGTGGTGAAAGAGAGATGGCCCCGTAGAGGCATGGTAGGGTGTCAGATGTAAGAGGCAGCCCAGACGAAGTGCAGGGGAGAGCGTCTGGGGCTTGGCAGGCCAGGGGAGGGTATGGGCTTGACCATGGACAGTGGGGAGCTGTTCAGGCTCCATGAGGAAAGACCTATGGTGGCTGTGTGTTCTGAAAGCTCAGAGCAAACGCCGGTGGGTCTGCATTTTGCTCTCTTTAGCCTCACAGCAAAGCAGGCCGCAGCTGCTAGAGGGAGTTCACGTCTGTCTGTCTGAAGTGTCCCAGGGCCCCTGCGGGGCCTGTGCTGTGGAAGGGGAGGCTCACACTCCAAGCTGGGTCCTGCTTGGCTCAACCTCAGAGAACAGAGTCAAGCCCAGGTCCACAGGCGAGCCTCTGTGGGCACCCAGTGTGGAATTTTCCTCTTGGATCCAGCCCCAGTTCCTTGCTATTGGTCACTCTGCCTGAGCCTGTGGAATTCCAGAAAAGTTAGACATTAGCAAAGAGTGGACCCCACTGGCCCCTGGCCTGAATTGGCCTATAGTTTGGCTGAGCCACTTGCTCACCAAAGGATCCTTGTCCTCATCTCCCTCCCACTTTTCCTCTCAGTTAAGCCTTCCCCCCAAGTTCCCAAAGCCATTCTCCCCTTCCCCAACCAAGCTGCACCTCCCAGGCTGCCATGGAGTACAGAGGTTCAGGCACTGCTCCTAAAGGGAGGCCACCTGACATCCTGGTCCCTGAGGGTGGCCTGTACCTACGCTGACACCACAATGCCTGTGACATGGAAGAGGGCTGGATTTCCATTTTCTAAAAGTTACAGGACCAATTTTGTTTGTTAACTTGGTAAATATACAGCAGTCAGCTAACTGGTTTACATCTTATGCCTGGCAGTTCTTGGGCCATTTATGCTTGGGTAGGGATTCGCCTTTACACGTGTTGTCTCTTCCCAGAAAAGACATTTAAGGGCAGCTTTCCCCACCCCACCCCTCCCCAAAGCCCTTATCTGTTCTCATGGTGTTCCAGGTTACATTGTAATTATTCCTTAATGGGGTGTGTCTCCCCTGGTAGGTTTTAAACTGTGCAAGGGCTGCAGCCATGTCACATTGATCAGTGCACCCAGCTCCAGGCAGGAAGCCGGAGGGAGGGAGGAAGGAAGGAAGGCATCTTATCATGTGCCCTGGGATGGGAGACAAATACAGGCTTTTTGTATTAAAGGCTGAGTTAAACAGCTCATCAGTACAGACTCATATGAGTGACCAAGGTGCAGCGCTGCTCTGCATAAACAGGTGACACCTCCCATTGAGGATGGTGAGGATGACATCCGCTGTGAATGAGGGCTCGCTGCACGGCGGGCACTGTGTGAGTGCTTTAAAAGCATCATCTCACTCCCTCAACACCATTTCAGGTCATTAAGATTATTATCCCCATTTTACAGTTGAATTGAATTTCAGAGATTTTGCCCCTTGCGCAAGTAACACAGCTATTAAATCACAAAGTTGTGTCTCAACTCCATGTCTGCAGTTTTAAGCATGATCTGAGTTCTCCCCTGCTCACCACTTGGGGACCATCCTGTGAAGCACCTGTCAAGTGGTTGGCCATGGCTGAATGCTGGGTCTAATGCCCTGCAAAGTGAGTGGAGTGGAGAGCTCGGACTTCGAGATCCCCAAGAACTGTGTGTGTGCATGTGCCTATGTGCACGTGTGTGTGTGCACAAGAAAGAGCAGCAATTAAGCAAGTGTATCTGGGCATTCATGGGACTTAACAGTTTGCCTATAGCATTTAGTCCATATGCACAGGCCTGGAGGAAAAGCCCCTTTGAGGGGAGATGGGTCAGGCCAGGGCCATCATTCGGTCATCCTGCTGGTCTTGGCCTGCAGGGGTCCTTTGGCCCTGTGGGGTCCAGCCTGGGGAGAGTGGGCAGCATTGCCAGCCCCTTGTCCATCAGTGGTGGCCCTGCAGAGGGTGCGGGCCAGCCCCCTGTGATAACGCTGCCTCCTGCCAAAGGTGTTTTTCAGGGGCATCACCGTGAACGCTGTGCGGGGCTTCCCCATGAGTGCCACCATGTTCCTTGGGTATGAGCTCTCGCTGCAGGTGATCCGCGGGGACCACACAGTGACCAGCCCCTGAGCACCAGGTCAGTGTGCCTCCTTCCCAGCCAGTTGTGCCTTCTTAGAGCTTGAAGCTCTTCTCTGCCATGGAAATGTATTGGCTTTCTGGAACGTCCCTCTGTCATTTGTTTCCTGTCTAATCAGTGTTAATCCTGGGCCTAGAACTGTCACCTACTTGTCATCAAAAGCCCTTCTGAAATGCCCACCTGTGACTGGTGGTGAGCTGGGTGCTTAGTAAGTGAGGTTAGCACAGAATTTACCTTTTCATAGTGAGCTCACCAATCTATTTTTCCATTCAGCAGCTTCAACAGCTCTTGGAGAAAAAGCCTATTTAGCTTCACTGTACAAATTCAGCGACCCAGGCTCACAAGTGAGGACTCAAACCAGGGTGCCAACCCCATCAGAGGGGCACCACCTCCCCACCTGCCTACTGAACTCAGAGCTTGAGTCTGAGAGTCACCAGTTGGCTCCCAAGGCCCTTAGAGGACAGCCTCTGCCTTGTTCCCTGCCTCCTATGCCTCCACCTTTTCTCTTTCCTGTTGCAGAAAGATCACTGCAGCCCAGGAATCTAAAAGCAAATCTGAGCAAGTGACTCCCTGCTCAGATGCTCTCAATGGCTCCCCATTGCCCTCTGGGTAAAGCATCAGCCCTTGACAACCTTATCCTCGCCCACATAGTAAACATACCATCCTTGCTCTCACCTCTGGGTCTTTGCACTTGCTTTCTCTGCCTAACATCTGCTTCTCATGCCTTCTGCCCTGTCCTTGGCTTCACTAACTCCTCTTTGTCATCCAGGCCTTGGTCTCTAAGTCTCCTCCTCCAGGAAGCCTATGATGATGCCTCGGCCAGGATGAGCTGTGCCTGCTGTAGGCTCCCTCCCACAGCCCTGCTCAGCCCCTCTCACATTCCTGCATGACTGCAGGATGACTTTCCTTACTCCCCAGGCAGCCTGAAGGTCCCAGGAGAGCTGGGACTGTTCTTTCACCTCCATATGGCTAGTGCCTGGCATGGAGCCTGGCACACAAATGGCCACTCAGAGACATCACTGAATGGATGGATGTCTCCAATATTCTCTCTATTCCTCCCCTTCTCTCCCTTGTTTTTCTTTGTCTGGCCCCAAACTGGTTACCTGCAGAGCTCACAAGACAAACTGGGATAAGTCCCTGAGTTTTCTAATCAACAAGAAACGATTTTGCCTTAGTGACTTCAAATTCTCTCAAGAAAGATGGTCTTCATCACGAAGGCTTGGGAAACCTCCATGCTGCTTCCCCTGGGGCAGTAGAGGTCTGCTAGGATGCATGGATGGGGCCAGACCCTGGAGCCAGGGAAAGGACATGATGGATCAGGCTGACTAGATCAGAACAAGCCCTAGATGCTGGCTTTAAATCAAATGCTTTCACTTTTTACTAAAACACCAACATTCCCAGCTTTCCTGGCTTTTTGCCCTCTCCTATAAAAGGAAAAGGGTAGCAATGCATTTTGCATAATTAAACAGCTTGGGGGAAGAGTTACTGTATTTGGACCTGTAACTGGTCCAGGGCCAGGAAGGGAAGTTGTCTGATTCTTAAAGCTGTGCTCAGATATCAGCCACTCCCCACTTTGAACAGATGAAAGTGATTTTTCCAAAAAGGCCTATAATAAAGCCCATGTATTTTTATTGCAGAAAAAATAGAAAATACAAATAAACAGAACACACAAAAATACCTATCATCCCAAGACCTTGTTATTCTTCCCAGTGTTTTTTATGTATATCCCCCAAATAGGATCCCATTTTACAAAATATTTTATAACTCACTCTTCCCACTTGATAATTTGGGACCATTTTCCCATGTCATTAAACATTCAGCTGCGAGGTGGTTTTAATGCCAAGACCTGGCAGATCCCAGAGGGGCTGGATGCTTGATTGAGCTCCTGCACCCTGCCACCTGTGACCACCCAGGGACGTTGGCTACTTAGGGAAGAAGGAAGAAGTTTCTAGCAAGCCAAAGCCTGATCATCCTGGACTTAGCCTTTCCAGAGCAGGCACCACCCCAGTTAGAGTCTCTTCTTTCTGAAAGGACTCTCAAGGTACAAGGCGCACAGATGCCCGTCTGCTTTCCTCTGCCAGGGTGGGAGGAGTGGCTGGTGCCCCTCAGGTGGCAGAGGGGCTTCCCAGCGACTTGCCTAGAGCCTTACCTTGAACAAGCCTCATCCGAGGAATTCACCTTTAACCCGAGAGGACGAAGGCATCTCCAGCAAGTCCTGAATTTGAATTTACCAAGTGGCTGTGAGATCCTGAGCAGGTCATGTTCTAGGGAGGAGCCATATCCAGTCTTTGAAGACAGGGAAACGAAGGTCTCCCTCAGAGCCTAGACTGAGGACAGTGGTGTGTGTTAGGGAGCTCGGGAGCTGCAGCTCCCTAGAGGTGGGGGGGACCATCTCAGGTCCCTGAGTGCAGGGTAAGAATGGCCAGGAACTGTTTCCAGATGCCTACTGGGAATAGAGTCCGACTCCCAGCAGCTCCTGCCTCCTCCCACAGCCAGACGCAGCTCTGCTCCGGCTCCTCCGGTGAGAACACTTCCTCTGCATTCATCCGCTGGGTTATTTTCCTCCTAGGTCACACGTATGAGTGACCCAAGGACCCTCTGAAACCCAGCGAACGCCCCCTGAGGTTGCTTTCTGTGTTTGGTTGATTTTATTATCCACATGGAGAAACTGGAATCAGATGATACAAGGAAGATGACCTTGTGTGGGGGAAGTGAGGCCCCAACCGGTGGTCAGCAGTCAGCCCCCAGACCCCTCAGAGGCCCAGGAATCCAGCTACACCATCCCTGCCAGCCCTCCAGGGCCTCCTCCCCACTACCTTCCTGGAATAGTGCCCGTCAGTCTTCCTGCCACGACTCTCATATTCCAAACCTCCCCGGTCCACTTTAAATTTCAGGAAAATTCATTTTCAAGGAAAGAGATACATTCTTCTTATAATGTCTTTCTCGAACATTTACAATGAGTCCCAGACAGCCTGGTAACTCTTTGTCGGTCCATGAAATGCTTCACAGAAACAATTTTCAAATGGGATGTTTGACCCCAAGATCTTGCTGACCAATCACCCCATTACATGAAAGTCTCATCTTCCCTCCTTTCTCCCCAGGGCCAGAGTCAGCAGAGCAAGGCCTCCGTCTACTGGCCACAGGTTGCTGCTGAAGGCAGCTTCTCCAGATGCCGCTGTAGTGAGAGTCCTGGAGAGAGAAGGCCTCCCACCACCCCTGCTGTGAGCCTCGTGGGGGGGGGGGCCTCAGCCCTTTGGCTGGGCCCGGAATCCCTTCTCCCCCAGCTGCCCGGGCTCTGCTCCTGAGCTGGCCGCTCGGCCGCCACGCTGGAAGGACGCAGCGGATCACCATCCGTTTCAGATCTGCACCGGCACCTGGTGAAACAGCCCCTGCCCCTGCGCATTGCAAACTCGCTGGGAGGTCCCGGAGGGGCTGGGGTTGCCTCCAAAGTTTCCAAATAAAAACATCCAAAACCGCTTCAGCTCCGTTCGGTATCAGATGCTTCCGCCTGGACTCCAGGAAACACTGGCCACCCTCACTCTTCCCTCTGTGCAGGCCCCTGCAGCTGTTGCTGGCCCAGAGAGGCCACTCCGCGCAGGGACAGGAGGCCCCGAGCACGGCCGTTCTTCGCCCGCGGCCGACGGTGTGCGGGGTGGACCCCGGCTCGTGTTGCGGCGCCCGCGGCTGCGGCGCTCCGGTGGCGATGCGCTGGGCACCAGGGCCCGCGGGCCGGGGTTCGCAGGGCCTTATTTTCATCTGGGGAACAAAACGAAATAAAATACTTTAACCGCAGTCTGGTTTCCTGGATGATCTCATCACGCTAAATTTTATTTCTCACTGGAACCATGTGGGGAGGCCACTGCTCTTTGGCTGTTAAGGGGCACGTGTCAGTGGGACAGTCTCAATTTGTGGCCACAGCAGGCGCTCCTCATGTGTCACACAGTCTTCCTGATGAGGGTAGTTTTGGAATCTCAGCACAGGTCCCAGGCCAGACGCCACCAGCCAGTCACAGCTGCACACAGATGAACGTACTTGCCATTCCTGGCTTAAATCTGGTAGGGAAATATCCTTCGATTCCCGCTCTTTTACCCTTGAACGTGTCCTTGATTTCTCCGTTCCCGCTGCTCTACAAAAAGTCACCCAAAGAAAGGCTCCCTGGCCTGAGAAACTACAGAATCACCACTTGGTGGCAGCAGAGGACAATTAAACCCCCCACGGGTGGCAGTTTCTGGCCGCGTGTGACCTTGGTCCTCAATGGCGAGAGCACCAGGGCCCCAGGACACGTCTCTGCCGGTTCGCTTGGTCTCGCTGTCTCCGTCTCCCTGTTGCTGTCAGTGGTTGAGCAAGCCTCTGACTGGGGAGAATGTCGCCTTGGGTTCCAGTTCCAAGACTGTCACTGCCTATGGACATGACGTTGCAAGCTTTTGCCCGTTTCCTCATCTGTAAAACGGCCACACTAAGTCTCCTTTTCTTACCTTCCAGAACTTCAGTAAGAATCAAGTGCAAAAGTGGTTTTATGAACCACGAAGCGAGAAATACAGGGGTTAGAGAAAGGTGGGGAAGGGGATCACTTGTGTCTTTTTTCTTGTTTCTGGTTTCGGCCCACCGTCCTCTCTGCAAGTCTGCCCTGTTCTCATTTATTCAGGGGGCAACACAGGGTGGCTGGGGTGGTGTTCCTGGGCCTTGTCTCTCTAGGGGAACCCTGAGAGCTGGCTCCTCGGATTCCGGACTCCAAGGTGGGCATCCAATATACACGCTTGGAGCGGAGCGGACACAGTTGCTCATGTGGCCCTTTGGGTGCCCAGGATGTCTGACAAGTCACCTGGCAAGCCCTCCAGGGCTCTGACCCCAGCGCCCCTCTCTGCCAGGCTGGCACCACAGAGGTTTCTAGGAAACATTTGGTCCAGCAAAGGAGTCCAGCCCCTGAGCAACTGAAGCTGGAAAACCTTCCAGAGAATCGCTGCTTCCCCCATCTGGCTGAGCGCGGGGAGGGCCAGCCCGCCCTGGGCTCAGGCACCCCCACCAGTTACAGGACCACGCCAGCGCCTGGGCCGCCCGCCTCCCAGCAGCACAGGCCCGTCTCTCCCTCCGCACCCGTGGATTCTGAAGATCTGCTGCCTTCTACTCACTGCTGTGCTGAGCCAGCACCTGCCATGTGCTGCATGCCTTATTGGTGTTTGCCAGATGAGATTCCACCACACTCTCAGATATGAAAAAAATAAATGAAGCTCTCTTTATTTTTCTTTAACATTTATTTTTGTTTGAGCCTCCATTTTACCTAGCAGAAAAAGTTGTTTTGGCATTTCAGGGTAAAACTCAGAAATTCCTACTTAAACATAGTCAGCTGAGGATTTTTTCCTTCCCCTCCCTCTCCCAGGGGTGACTTTAGATCTGGGCGACTTGGGGTACAGGAAGAGGCTTCTGGCTCTTGGGAGATACTCCGCCCTTCACTGGCATTCTTCCTGTCTAGTCTTGGGGCATGGCCTTCCTTCCATGGCAGCTTCTGTGGAAGCATCTTCACCCCCTCTGGTCCTGGCCACGTGGTCCATGCATCTGCCACACCCAAGGCTCCTCTGGCCTTACTGTCCTCTGTGACATAGCCATGCCTTCTCTGTCCTATGGGAAAAGCCTAGGCTTCTTTACAGAGCTACTCAGGGACCCGCATCAGACCCAGCTTCCTGGGGCTCCCTGTGTCATGCCCCGTGTCAGGTGTCAGGGGGATTCTCTTTTCAGATTGTCATCTCCGAGTATACAGAGCTTGGAAGCCCTCCATTCCCAGTCCTCAGCCCTTCCTGGGAGTTCTGCTACCACCACCCCACTCTGTCTTGGAGCAGAGCACACACCAGTGTCTGGTATCTCCTCTCCTTTACACCTTCTTTTCCATGGTCCTAAGAATTATTACTTCCTACCTAGAGTTAGGATCTCTACCCTTGGAAATTCAAAAGTCAAAAATTATCCTGCATATTAATAAATGAAAGACAAACACAATCTATGCAGAAAAAGCATTGACAATATCTAATATTCATGATAAAAACACTCAACGAATTGAGAATAGAAGGGATCATCCTAAACCTGATAAAGGACATCTATGAAAAGTCACAGCTAACAGCACATTGAGAGGAAAAGACTAGATGCTTTCCCACCAAAATCAGGAACAAGACAAGGATGTCTGCTCCTGCGTCTTCTATTCAGCATTGCACTGGAGGTGTGAAAGGCCAGTGCAAATAGGCTATAAAATAAAATAAAAGTCCTCCAATTTGGAAAAGGAAAACTAAACTACCTTTATGCACAGGTGATGCGATCTTGTATGTAGAAGATCCTGAAGAATCCATTAGAAATATTAGAACCAATAACCAAGTTCAGCAAGATTTCAGGACACAAGATCAACACATAAAAATCAACCTAGCAATTAAATTTTCAAATGTGAAATTAAGAAAACACTTCCATTTACAATAGCATTTGAAAATGAAGTAAATAGGCATATTTTAATGAAAGAAGTGCGTGAGTTTTACACTGAAAACTGGAAAACCTTGTTGAAAGAAATTTTTAATGTTCTAAATAAATAGAAAAATACTCTATGTCATGGGCCAGAAGACTATAAATATTATTAGATAGCCGTATTCCCTAAATGGATCTACAGTTTTAGTCCAATGCCTCTCAAAATCCCAGCTGTCTTTTTCTGCAGGTATGGATAGACTCATCCTAAAGTCCATATGGAACTGCAAAGAACCCAGAATAGCCAAAATGGTCTTGATAAAGAAGAATGAAGTTGGAGGACTCACACTTCCCTCCCCCAAGGCTACAGTGCTCAAGGCAGTGCGGTGCTCGCTTAAGGAAGCCGTGTAGATCAATGGTGTCAAAATAACTGTTCATCAATAAACCTTTATTTTAATGGTCAACTGGTTTTCAACAAGGGTGCCAAGACAATTCAATGGAGAAGGAATAGTCTTTTCATGAAATGGTGCTGGGACAACTGGATAGCCATATGCCAAAAGAATGCAGTTGGAACCTTAACTCATACCATATGTGAAAATTATCTCAAAACGGATCATAGACCTACATGTAAGAGGTCAAACTACAAAACTCACAGGAGGAAATAGAGGAATAAATCCTTGTGACCTGGTATTTGGCAAAGGTTTCTTAGAATACCAAAAGCAAAAATGACAAAATAAAATATAGACAAATTAGACTAATTTAGACAACTAAAAACTTTGGTACTGCAAATGATACTTTCAAGAAAATAAAAAGACAGCCTACAAAATGGGAGAAAATATTTGCAATCCCGTATCAAATAAGGGACTTAAATTCCGAATATATATAGAGAACTCTCACAACTTAACTATAAAAAGACAAATAACCCAATTTAAAAATGGGCAAAGTATTTGCATAGACATTTCTCCAAAGAAAATATACAAATAGTCAATGAGCACATGAAAAGATTCATCACTAGTCATTGGAGAAATGCAAATCAAGGCCACAATGAGATACCACCTCACATCCACTGGCATGGCTGTAATTTAAGACAGATAATAACAAGTGTCGACAAGAATGTGGAGAAATTGGAAACCTCATACATTGTTGGTAGAAATATAAAATGCTCTGCCACTTTGGAAAACAGTTTGGCATTTTCTCAAAAGCTAAACATAGAATGACCATATGACCCAGCCATTCCACTCCTAGGTATATCCAAGAGACAGAGAACATATGTCCTCACAAAAACCTTTACGTGAATGTTCACAGCAGCATTATTCATAGTGGCCAAAAAGTGGAATCAACTCAAATGTCTTCCAGCTGACGAATGGATAAATAAAATGCGGTATATCCATATAATGGAATATTATTTGACAATAAAAAGAATTGACATAATGATATATGCTACAACATGAATGAATCTTGAACACATCATGCTAAGTAAAAGAAGCCAGTTACAGGAAAACACACATTATGGTTCCATTTATAGGAAAAATCCCTAAGAGGCAAATTTGTGAAGACAAAAAGTAAATTGTTAGTTGATTAGGCTGGGGAAGGGAGATTGGAGAATGGCTGCTAATGAGTACAGGGCTTCTTTTGAGAGTGATGAAAATATTCTGAAACGAGATTGTGGTTATGGATCCACAACCATATGAATATGCTAATTCCCACTGAATTGTACACTCTCAGTGGGTGAAGGGTCTTTGCATTTCTGCTTAAGGCCCCCTTTCCAAAGGAAGAGAGGTTTTGGTCTGGGGTGAATGACACAGGTAAAGTAATGAAGGGATTGCAGGGTTGAGACTGCACAATATCTCCCTGCTTCAAATTGGGCAGATGGGCAGAAAGAGAGACAGACAGCTGTGGACTGGCCCACTTCAAGTCCAGCAGCATCTGGGTTTGCTTTGACCAGCGGCAGTGTGCCCTGGACCAGAATCTCCAGGGAACAGCCCTGCCGGGGCCCACCAAGCTGCACAGGGCTGCTGGCTGTGTTGAGAACTTCCATGCTCTTGTTGGTCATGTGTGAGAATGAGGCTCTAGAGTCAGTTCCCTGAGTGGGAATCTTGGCTTTTTCCCTTGTGAACAGTGTGCCCTGGCAAGTTATATAACCTCTCTGGGCCTCAGTTTCCTCATCTGTGCACTAGGAATAATTATATACAAAAATTATATACCTACGTCATGGGTTGTTGTGGAGATCCAACTAGATATCCCACGAAACATGCTTAGCATAGCACCTGGTACACTGTTAACACTCAATAAAAAATGTTGGTTTTCCTTCTCTTTTTCCCAAGGTGCCTTCTAAATAAGTTTGACTCTCCTGGCC